AAATTTCTATCCGGGGCGGGGGGGGTGGAGGGGTGCAATTTTGTCTCCCACTTTGAAAATCCCATCACATTGTAAAGCTAACTACACTTTACAACTAGAACCCATCTCAATTTACTTGTCTTGCTTTCCAAATCGACCGTTGCTACAAAGTACCATGTGAATCATTGTCACAAACAATTTCAAAATCAAAATTCTAAAAGCATCCAAATACATAAAGTTTTCGCCAGGTATGAGATTCTTTGTGTTCGACAAGTATGGATGTAGAAAAGTTCAAATCGATATTCTTCTAGATCTTGACTTTTCTTGATGGCCATATTAAAGGTCTCGAAGTTCAATTACATGCGTCTGATTGAATATACAATCTCGAAGTTCGTTTTAGTCATTTCATCCCGTAAAACTTTGAAAAACTCACCTTGATTATTTTCATCTCGAAAAAACATTAAAAACTCCCCTCAATTATATCGATCTCAAAGAACTCCCCAAAATTAAACAAAATAAAAATTCTTCTAGAGTGAGAAATTAGATAAAAATTCATGGCATAACTAAGCACTAGAATCCATATGAATGAAGTCTGCCTCTAGAATTTGTTTATTATCGACGGGCATAACGAAAGTGTTTCGAAATCCTCATATACTTCGATTGAATATGCGATCGCATAACTATCGATTGTAGTCATCTAATCCCGTAAAACTTCGAAAAACTCGGCTTAATTGAAATATCAGAAAACTGAAAAAAAAAATTAGATAAAATATAAATTCTTCAAGGTGAGCAATGATATAAAACCATGGCACGTTTAATTGTTAGAATCTTTCTAGTTTATCATTTACAAACTTTTGATAAATATTATCTTACAGTTGCAGCAACAGTATGAGCCCAAAACCTAAGATGATCTTTCAATTCCATTTCATTACCAAAATCTGGAATTCTCCAATCCATCATCAATGAATTCTTCACTCTCTTTTCATCTTCCAAAACATCCCATGCTTCAGAAAGATAGGGCCTTGAAACTTTCACAGATTTCTCAATTCCCTTTTCCTCCCATTTTCCATCCAGTTTTCCCCCCAGTCTTTGCAATCCAGGGATTATTGAGACCAAATTTGAATCCTTATCTTCATCTGAAAACACAAATCCTAGATCCATAAACCCTTTTAATTCTTCAAATTCCAGTTCTGATAAGCTTCTGCTGCTGTTTTTCTTCCTCCTGCACTTCCTATTATCTTCTGTTCTTGAAGCCTTTTTCTGTTCAAACTCTTCAACTTCTTTACCAGAAAGTATAGTTTGAAGCTTAGGAACAAGAACAGATTTGGGAGAAGAAGAATCTGAAGAATTTGAACAGTCTTTAGAGCTCAAAAACTGATCACTGGAAGATTTCTTCATGAGGGTTTTGATTCGATTCAGCTTTGGTTTTGCATCAACTTCAAGAACTGGATCTGTTTTCACTTTACACAAAGAGGGTTTAGGTGAGAAAATCCCATACTCAAACCAGTAAGAATCAAGGAGATTAAGAACTGCTTCTGCAGCTGACATTGATTTTTGGTTCTGAGAAAAAGAGAAAAAAGTGCCAGAAATTTGTTCGGCCTGTGAGGGTGAGGACACCTAATATGCTTATGTGTGTATATATAGTGAGTGTATTGCATTATTTGGCATCTCTTCATCACTAATATTGGAGAATTATGTGGAAAGTTTATTAAACCAATCCACGTGATTTTGTTATGTCAACATTATACAATAATAATATTTTAAGTTTCATGCTCGAAATAAGTAATAATCTATAAATTTGAAAGGTTTGAGAAGATGCTCACAATAGAAGTCGAGAATGAACTTGTAACACGAGGAATACGTTGAAGATGAATGATGGTGCGTTCTCTTTTTATTTTAGAAAGATATAAGTGATGGCCACGTGTCAAAAATTGGGTCCAACTTTGAGAAAATAATTTATCTGCAAAGTGTGAAAGGAATATTACAAGTGAAAGTAAAATAAGAGAAAAAAACTTTCATTAGCATATAATATTTTGTGACTTCGAGTATCATAATCAAATGATTCATTGCATCCTTTGATGCTTCTCTATCTTTACAAATAGGAGATCGATTCGAAACTCGCAAAGGAATACACAAATGACATGACAATGGTGGAGTCTGATTGCATTAATGCATTTAACGACATTTGCAACCTTAACCTTCACGTCCTTGAGGGGGTTATCGTTACCAACATTGGAGACTCGTTGTTCGTCCATGTTCTTACTAAACACGAGCTTTGTGTTTTTTAAGATTGTAAGATGAAGACCCTGCTTCATAAAATTGAATAAAATTCTCATTTGGAATAAAAGAATATTGTCAAATAATAAATTAGCACGTGGACTTAATAATTCTATTAAATCCTTTATTAGGAGAGCTTTCTTTTCACTAATATTAGATCCATAATTCTTTATAGTTCTAATCTAATAATTAGAGTGGGTCCAAATGATTCTTCAACTTTACTCATGAAATTTGGACCCACTCTAATTATTAGATTAGAACTATAAAGAATTATGGATCAAATATTAGTGAAAAGAAAGATCTCCTAATAAAATCTAATAATTAGAGTGGGTCCAAATTTCATGAGTAAAGTTGAAGAATCATTTGGCGTGTTTATCTTAAGACACACGCGTAAGGTAAGACTCTAATTCATGACCCAAATAATGTCCCACATTGATTCAAACAAATAATTTATTATTTAAATTTTTTATTACCAATAATTGAATTAAAAAAATATTCATTGACCAAGATAAGGATAGTT